AGTTCCTTGGGTCTACAGGCAAATTCGACATTTATGGTTAGAGATGATAATCAAGAAACACCGATTACCTTATTTATGAAACAAAAGTTGCTGTGCAACTTTGAATACAAACTGTTAGACTTGAATACAAATAACCGGGCTTGGAGGACTGTCTCTTAATTACAAACCTACATGAACTATAGATGATTATTTTACATTCTAAAGGAAGAAAGTTTTAAAAAATGTAACATATTTATAGTAATCTTAAATATTTATAACCTAGCTTCTTTTTAAAAAATCACGTACCTATCTTATCTTTGGTTTAGAATTTTGTTTCCATTGTCTGCACTCACCCTAAGCATTATCATTACCCATTACTATTTATATGTATAATAGGTTAAGATGGGAAGAGAAACAAAAATACATATATGACGGGTATTTTGCTAAATGCTTTACATGTTCTTGTTAATTTAGTTGCTGAAGGATGCTTTTGAATCGCTCACTCAGTAACAGCATTGACAAAACAGAAGCTCAGAGATGGTAAGAATTGTTTTAGGGTCACAGAGGCAATTAAATAGTGGCACTGTTAATCAAACCCAAAGTGGTGGTGTGTTTAAGCAGTAAAATCCCTTTTTCAACTAAATACTACTTACCACTAAATACTAATTTCAATTAAATACCACCACATGAAATTGTTTCTCTGAGAAAAAATGAGATAGGAGATCTAGAAATGTCATGATTTCTTCTTAACGCTGCTTGAAAAAGAAGTTACCTTTTATTTTATTTTTTTATCTTTTTGCTTGTTGGGTCATACCTAGAAGTTATCATTTTAAAAGACAAAAAAATAACCAAGATGGGAAAGGGGTGCTGCAATACAATTATTTCATTATCTAGCACATAATTCACTTTTCTCTAATATTTATTATGATAGAAGGTATCAAAAAACAGAACGTTTTTTCGCTTTTTTCTTTTCTCAGTGAGATTATAAGAATAGTCAACAAAGGAGGAGGGAAACACAGAGCCAAAATAATCTTCAAAATTCATACATAAAACATTTATAACTATAGTTATAAGTCCTTAAGGTTCCATCAAATACTTGGTGGCAAGGACATCTTCCAAATGGCAGTTTATTTCTCCCCAATATTTGGTGTTTCTAGAGGAGTCTGTAGTTTTCCATCATGATAAATTAATATACCTTATTTTTTTATGGTGCCACAAAAACAAGAACTCTGCAGGGCATAACTTTTACAAAAGATCCAGATACCCTGAAAAGCATCAGGTATCAAAACGTAGCCAGAAGATGGTATTAAATAAAAAGGAAAAAAAATGAAAAAGCGTTCTTACTTAATGAAGTCAAGGTGTAGGACAGATTTATTAGTTTCCATTTTTTCAAGTTGCATTCTGGTGTATTTCCTGCCCATATTTTTTTTTAAGTTCAGTAGGTCTCTTTCTAGGATTAGTTTTTAAAACATAAATTTCAAAGGATATGATGCAGCTATACCCACTCCACCTGCAATGACACACCTGTGATGATACAAACACTAAGTGTCTCTTATATTCATGGCCTTATGCTCTAACAGAAAACAGGACTTTTGTATGGTCTGCCAAGATCCTGCTATTCTCAAAGACAACTGATTTGGTAACAAGATATTATATAGTCTTAAAAATAATAACCAATCAAGGATTTCCCCTGATCAAAATAGTCTCTGAGTGTACCTCAGTCAGACTATTCTTTACTGTCATAATAATTTTTCAAGTGTTAATAGATGGCTTAAATAAAATTTATTGAACATTTGATACCCTAACACAGAGGCACAGTATTTTTGTTCAATTATATTTAGGGACATCAATCGTGCATTACTTATATTTCACTCAAACATCATTATTCATTGTTTACTATGTCAGGAATTATACTTGATTCTTGAGGAAGAGAAGTATTAAAAATATAATCAGAGGATAAGATTGTGCTCAAACTAGACTTTTGAACCAATAATTAGTGTATTAAACTAGAAAAAAACCCTCAAGGTCAATGGAAATACAGTAGAAATAGAATTCATTCTGCTTATAGGAGTAGAAAAAAAAACACTGGGAATGTTAAAGGTAACATTCTTTTTCACTAGAAACGTATTTCTGAAAGGAAAATAGCAAGAAGGTTCAGAGGCGAATGATTGAATAAGTGGGCCATTTTGAGACTATATTGTACAAAGAATTGACTAAAGATGTGCTAAGAGTGCTCTTCGACCTTAGAATGCCTGCAAATCAGCTGTTATAGCCAAAATAGTACACTAGTGGTTTTTAGCCTTCCTACACCAGTGGACTAGCAAAAATACTGTTTTCAAATTTTAAGTACTCAACAATCATGTATAGTCTGAGTTTACCATATTGAACATTAAAGATAAGAGTAAGTTCCTTCATTGTGTACAAAGTTCTACTGGACAGAAACTGAGTTTCAGTAAAGGTAAGACTGTGGCCAGTTCTATAAACTACCATAATTCACAGATTCTCATCAGTATTAGCCTGGGATGGTATCTACCTTAGAACATTTGCTCAGATCTATTTTATCCAACCAGCTTTTACCTTTCAGTAAGACTACTTTGGAAGAAATCTACAATGTGAAAGAAAAAGATTGAAAACTTACTGTTAAGAAGTTTGGAAACCAGCAGACTTTTTGTTTTGATTTTCTGTTTTGGGTATGTACTCAGTTGTGCTTAGGGGCACATGTAGGGTGCCTGGGATCAAGTCCAGGTCAGCTACATGCCAGGCAATCAGCTGACCCACTGTAGTATCTCTTGGAGTGCACACAACAGTTTTTTTAACCAGAGTATGACAAAGTGACACAACTGGATGTTAGAAACATTTTCTCTTGATGTAGTGGAGAATATGGCATAGCAATATCTCAAGAGCCAAAAAATTCTAATCAGAAAAGACAGCCACTCTTCTGTGTTAATCACAACTCCAAAATCTAGAAATATACCAAGTGTCTAAGAAAAGATGACTGAATAAAGAAATTGTGGTACATATACAGAATGGAATACTACTTGGATATAAAACAGAATCATACAATCTTGTATGGATGGAACTACAGAGCATCATGCTGAACAAAATTAGCCAGAAAAACAGAGGGAAAAAATACAAAATTATCACACTTATATGTGATTGTTGGAATACAAGGAGCTTAGGTTTATCAGGTTGCACCCTCACAGTGCTCCTGAGTCACTCCTATTCCTTTGTTTGTCTGTAACCACTTCTTTGAGCTCTCTTCCCCAACCAGTTAATCAGCTTTTCCCCTAGTCAGAATCTGTTAATTTGTAAGGTCAGATCCTCTAGGACTTTGAACTTGTAAGTTAATATTGCCTTTCTCCTCTCCTCATGTCTTTTGAATAGTTTACGTTAATGCAATGTCCTTTTTGTATAGATACAGGAAGACAATTAATATTATGCTTTGTAACTTAATTGGCTTTGAATATTATTCACTCCCAGGCATCTGCTTTCTCACCTTAAGCCTTAGTTGCCCTCACTTCCTAGAGTCCCCAAAAGCAGGGTCCTGACGAGGGACTGGATAGAACCAGGGCAAGCAGGTAAGCTATGTGTTACCCTGGCATCAAGATGGGCCAGGCCGAAGAGCCACGATTCTTAACTATTAGTTAAGAGTTTGATCATAGACAAATGCTGTCATGATCCAAAAGTAACAGCGAGACTAGGACCCTTCTAGGGATAGGAAAGAATATCTGGCCTGAGCACTGTAGTCTGAGATTGAGATGGCCCTAGGAGAGCAATTCTATAAGCTTAAAGTATTTCTTGCTGTGTCCATACAAAATGATTTATATTATGTATGCTTATATGTTGTTGGACAAGGAGAGGAGAAACACACCCAGGGGATTTCGTTCTAGGTTGTGTTGATCTGCTAAGTGAGTTTCTGTCCTAGAAGCAGCTTTCCCGTGTGTTCTGACTAGTTTGGATGCAGCTGAACACTTTTCCCTCTCAAACTGCCTTCAGTAAATCATTTTAGTATACGGAAGAGGCAGTTTTCCTTTTCTCACAGAAACCTAGCTGGTCTTAGACATGCAGATCTCTGGTGCTAGCCAGGCCTGATCTTTGAGATGTAGATTCCAAGCTCTAGCAGACTAGTCTTTGGGATGCAAATCCAAGTGCTTATAGGCCAAGGAAGGTTTCTGTCTTGGTTTTGCCTCTTCTTTCCCAGGAGGCAAAATTATTGGCCTGCAGATGTAAACAAGCAATACATGTTCTTTCTGTAACTCCTTTTTATGACATCACTGTATTGCGCCTCTTAGAGGTACCATGATCAATAGAGGGAGATTTCGGGGTGCTCTAGAGAGACCTGAGAGAAGAGAGAAGGGGAACACGTGCTTGAGAGAACCTGGAGGTGAAGGTCTGAGAGAAACTGGGCCCTCCATGACATGGGTTTCTTTTATGGGATATAATGAGACTGTAAGAATGGGATGGGAGAGGCAGAGGAGAGATAGGAGTGAATGGAGAAAGGATTGGAATAAACTGCAACTAAGACCACCCAGTCTGGCCCTCGTTTCCTTCCTTCACCTGCCCATCGTCTTCGACCTCCCTGGAGTGGACCTCCCTGAGACTACGGAACATGGGTGGCAGGAGAGATAGACTGCTATGGTTCTTTTTTGTGTTTACACATGTGATATGTAAAGGGACATAGTAAGAAAATTTTAAAAAATGCACAAAGGTAACAGAACCTGAGAACTGTCTGAAGAACTAAGCTGGAAGGCATTAGGGTGGGTAGGATAGAGGATGGGAGAACTGAACAATGGTGGTGGAGAGAAGTGGACCCTCTGGTGGAAGGGGTGGTGTTCGAACGCTGTACCCATAAAACCTTACCAATAACAGGATTGGAGATCAGGGTGCTTTAAGAATAAAATAAAATAAAATAAAATAAGGCAGTGGTTAATATATGTAGAAAAATTCAAGGCATGCTAAGATCAATAGAGCCTAATGAGATGAAAGGAAAATTTCAGTTTCTAAAGAAATACAAATTAAAAGTTTGTATCAAAATATTTATTCCAAGTAAGATCTGTGCACAGGTACATCAAGCATATTATTTTCACGCTAATAAAAATACGAACACTTTGGCCATGAAACTCAGAGGTACATGAAAAACTCAAGGTATCTGTTTTAAATCAGTAACTCCTTTAATATTTATAACCCATGCTTGTTCACGTGTAGTTTTAAATTATACTTATTCTTCATATTTACTGCATATATGTAAGTTCATATTTTGATATATAGCCTCAAAAATTAAGACTTTCAGAAAATTCCAAATATTCATACATCTCAGTTCTTAGCATACTATTATTAAACCAAAAGTATTTTCAAGTAGCAAGTGCTCAAACCACACCACCAATTCCTGATTACTGATATAATTGACATTCAGTTTTATAAGGTGTTCTCTTAACTCCTATTTTAGTAGGCCGACCATTACTTCACTGATATCCCAGAGTTTTCTAGCAACTAAATCATCCATAGCTTTGGGCAATAGTTCTTCCTCTTTACAATCCCCAAAGTACTTCCCTGATACACCTTCTACCTCAGGGGAAGAGGCCAAATAAATTGAAGTCTGGGCACCTTCAACAGGAGATTTGAAAAACGCCCATGACACTAAACTGAAAAGTGGTCTAGCCAACAAGGGAATGTGAATATGTCTGCCCAGGTTAGTCCTTACAATCCCAGGGTGTAATACATTGACAGTAACATTGGTGCCTTCTAAGCGGCGGGCGAGTTCTCTAGTAAAGAGAATATTAGCCAGTTTGCTCCGGCTATAACAAAAGCTTTTATTGTAACTCTGCTCACTGTTCAAGTCTTCAAAGTTGATGTCTCCATATTTGTAAAGTTTGGAAGAAACAACCACAATCCTGCTGGGAGCTGAACTTTTGAGGAGCCCAAGGAGTAGATTGGTGAGCAGGAAGTGTCCGAGATGGTTCACTCCAAACTGCATCTCAAACCCATCTTCAGTCTTCATATAAGGGCACTGGAAGACCCCTGCGTTATTAATCAAGACATCCAGTCTACGCTCTTCCTTTAAATGCCAAAAAGAGAAGAAGTGCATTATCAACAACAGCTTTCACTGTAATTAAAACTATGTAAAATTCTTTGTTAATAAGATTCCATAAAATCCTGTATGATTTTCAACATGAGAATAAAAAACAGATTTGATGCCTATTAGGGGTTCCTGGCCTTAAGCTTTTCACGTTACCTCATTCACTTTCAACAACTAAAGGGTCTCCTGAGTGGCAAACAAGTCTTAGAATAAAATCTTCTGATACCAACGCCCTTGCTCTTAAAGTTAAGCTAGTTTGTGTTCAGTTTTGTTTGGGGGCCACACTTGGTGATGCTGAAGGTTTACTCTTTTGAGGTCAGTGAATACTCCTGGCGGATTCAGGAGAACGTATGTGATGTATGGGGGATATCGAACCAAGGTTGTCAGCATGCAAAGTAAAAGACCTGCTGTACTCTCACTCTGGCCCCAAGCACATTTGCACATTTAACTAGAAATTTCCAACTATAGTCCTGTGAGCTAGAGTGGTGGAAATAGGACACAAGACAGATAATCAGCACTACTCCCAAAGCTACTATAATCAGTGAGTTCGGATTGTTCTTTTGCCTTGTAATATTCTACAGGTGAGGGGTACCACGAAGATAGAGCAGACTTTAAGTTATTTCCTTAAACTTGGGGCAAGCAACAATGAGGGTCAGGGATATCCCCTTCCACTGTCTCAGAATAAAGTTTTAAAAGCCTTTTCTTTCCATAAGTAATTTATTTGGCATTCTTCACTTTCCTCTGGCTCTCTATTTCTTCGGGGCAGAAAAAAAAAAGATACAGTTTAGGCATTAAAGACATATGGATGGCCCACAATTAAACTTGAGGTCTCATTTCAACCTTCTCTGCCCTATTTGCCAAGGGAAAAGAAAAATGTGTTAAATTTCACAACTGTTATCAAGGCCTTCCTGTCAGAGGATTAACTATTTCTCATCAGTTTGTCCTAAGCACCTTTAGCTTTCCCAATAGTCAACTTCAAAAAGAAAGCAAGAGTTCACTCGTGGGGGAAAGAAAGGAGTGTTCTTCTTCACTAATCCTTGGACTCATTTCCGAAATTAATCATTTTTGGAGCCATCATTCTTTGCTGGGCTGGTGTTATTTTAAGACATCATTTAGTATTTTTAAAATTCTAGGAGATAAATGACACAAATGTCAAGAATACCAACTGTGGGAAATTTACAATTCCAACTTTTCTTTGTAAATAGTTTATAATCACGAAATCCAGAACTCCAGGAAGGAACTTAATATATACAAGCAAGAGCAACTTAATTTTCTCCTTATTTCCTTTCTTTTCTAATTGATTTTGCTCACTGGAGTTAAAGGAGCAAAATATCATAGGTATCAGGAATGAGAAGTATACTCTGGACCTGCTTGTTTTAGTGAATAACATATTCTTTTATCTAATATCCCATGTTACCATTTGTTCTTAACCTAGATCACCTAATAAAATATGAACCAAAAGAATTAACGAAAACTTTTCTAAACCTACAACAGTAGTCAAGCTTTGCATTTAAATGTCCTTCAGCATTACAAGGAACATTCAAGATGCTATGAAGCATTATAAATTGCCCAGGGAACCCTTCCTCACCTGGCATTCTTGCATAATTCAAAAACTAAGGCTACTAACTACTGGATTGAGGAGTGTGTGTGTGTGTGGGGGGGGGGGGGCGCGGGGGGTCACATTGTCACCATTTACTGTGCTGTCAAATATATGTATTTGTGAGTCTTTAAACCTGAATTTTTGTCAGTTTCTCTTATAAAATATAAGTACAATGTTAAAATTCAATGTGAAACAAGATAGGAAGAAATGATTCCCAGGTTGTAGTAGTTGGTACAGTGATCAACAGGTGCAGAGTTCCCACATGAAATCAGGGTTACTAAAAAGTGACTTTGAATTTCTTTTGGCCAATGGGCATCAAGAACAATCTAAAAAAAAAAAACTAGGAAATGCTGCTCTAGACCCCAAAATAAAGTAAAATTTTTGTTTTCACGTAAATTTGTTTTGAAACCAGCAATCATATGACCTCTATTTCTATTTTATACACCTTGGGGTCTCACAAAAAGTTCTTCAGCGAAAAAAGACCCAGGAGAAAAAGAAGTTTAAGAAGCTCTGCTCTAGATTCCTTTTTATAAAAGCACTTTTCCTAAGTCATGTCATCTTACATCTCTTTTCCTTTCTTATTGCAAATCCCCTCTACGAAACACCCTTCTATCTCAAGCTAACAGAGGAAATCCGCACTTTGGTGGAATATTTACTCTTTGCATAGAAAAATCCTCCATCTTTCTGGAGGACTGACTAGAGAAAACGGTTAGGCTCAGGGAAGGGCTTATTTCTAGCTGCCTTATAGTGCAGGATACTATGCTTAGCTCCCAAGGTTAACTGTGAGGATTTGGTTTCCATTTAGCTTTAGGTTTTTGTTTATGTGCCGAACCTACAGTGCTGAGGGTGATCAGTCCTGGCAGGACCATATAGGGTGCAGGAGATTGAACCCCAGTCCTTAGCCCCATGCATGGCAAGCACCCTACCCGCAGTATGATCGCTTTGGCCTCACTTAACATCTTTAAAAAGAGTACCCGAGAGAATGGAGATTGTCCAGTGCTCAGGGGAGCATGGCCTGAACTAAGTTTGAAGTCCAGCATTACAGGGTACCCAAGCACAACTAGCTGTGCCGCCCCTACCCAGGTCCTCCACCAACTAGGCCTGGGATCTCAGGCACCAGCTCCTTCATCCGAGGGACCTAGAACCTAAAGAGCCCCAGAAGAACCCCTCATCCCCTCTGCCCTCCTGCCTAGGGAAGCCTGGGAAGCCTTCCCACATTTTCTGTATTTATTTTAGAACTAAACTGATAGTCTCTTCCAGTCCCTGTTCAGAGCACCGGACCCCTTCACAGGGCCTCGGATTTGAGCACCAGCATCTGAGGTTGGCAGAAAGCTACATTTCTAATCACATAAGGAAAAAAGTGAAGGGGGGGGGGGAAGGGGAGAAGGGGGACCCCGATCAATCATTTCTACAAGGTTGCTCCTGGCTCACAGCTTCCCATACATGCTCTGCAAGAGGACGTGGGTGCAGAATGACTTTGGACAGCCAAGAAAAATAATGCAGACACCGAGGCTGAACTCCAATGCTGGGGGAGCTAGTTCCTCCGCATATCCCCAACATCCTAGGAGGAGGGACATATATATATATATATATATATATACACATACATATATATGTAATTTTTTTTTTTCCCACTAAGCCTGCGAAAAAGCTTCGCCTGGCTTGGAGAGAGAGAGACCTTCTAGTCGCAGGCTCGGTCCTTCCCAAGGTCACGGCCCTGGGACTCTGGGCGGCCCGGTCCCCGCCCGGTTCCCCGCCGGCCCCGCCACCCGCGCCGTCCCCGTCCCCGCCCCCGCCCCCGCCCCCCGGGGTCTCCGGGACCGGCCGCCCCCGGGAGCGTCCCACACCTGGAGCATCTCCTGACAGAAGGCGCGCACGGAGCGCAGCGACGCGAGGTCCAGCTCCTTGACCACCAGCTCGCCGGGCCCGCCGGCCTCGGGGCCGCCAGCGGCGGGGTCCCCGGGCGGCCGGAGCTCGCGTCGCAGCTCCCCGGCCGCCTCCTCGGCCCGCGCGCGGTCCCGGCAGCCCATGATGACCCGCGCGCCCAGGCGCAGCAGCTCGGCGGCCGTGGCGCGGCCCAGGCCGCTGTTGGCCCCCGTGATCAGCACCGTCTTGCCGTGCATGAGGCCCGAGTCCCCGCCTCCGGGCAACCGTGGCCGGCCCGAGCCCGCGAAGCGCCGGGCCGCCAGCCACAGCGCCCCACCCACCGCGGCCAAAAGCGCCGCCACGGTAGCCACGGCCATGGCGGGCCGGGGCAAAGGGCCGACTTCCGGCGCCGCGGCGAGCCCGAGCAGGGACGGCTTCTTCGCGAGGAACTCTGGGGCGGGGCCAGTCGTTTCTCTCCCCCCTGCCCCCGCCTCACTCGCCCCTCCCACTTCTGCGCCTCAGGGCCCGTGGGGCATGCTGGGACTTGTAGTTTTTCTTCCCGGGCTACCCGCTGGGCTTGGGGCGTTGATTACAACGTTTTGGCTTCTGAAGCCCGGGTGGCGGAGCTGTTTGCAGCCTAAGGGCAGAGGGTGAGTGCATAGACTTTGGCTTCAAGGTTCTGGTGGTGACATTTCCTCGCGGAAATGCCTAATGAATCCTTTCCAGTGCACAGCTCTGTAGGCTGGTATCCTCATACCGCTCCAGTTAGGTTTGATATTGTTCCCCGTTAAGTGCTCTTGGGACTGTTAGTTTTCAGTTTGGGTCACCACGTTCATCCTGCTGACCTAACATAGTGTGATGATCCCTTCTTCCCTTAAGCTGTGATGAGGGTAAGGATTTAGCAACGTTACTGAATTGGAGATAGAATACCAGGGGTTCTTAAACATTCGTGTTAACATTACTTCTGGGATTGCGAATAAAACCTTTTATTTGAGGCCTATATTCACATTCAGTAGAACTGGGATCTGACAATTGGCCTTTCTAAAACATAACTCTGATGTAGGCTGAACTGGGGGGCAATTTTGAGAATTTCCGAAGTACATTAGGACACTGTTCCTTATAGAAAAATTCATGGTCTGTGGTCCCGTTTGACATCGAGGCCGCTTGCCCTGCAGTGCCTATCCCAGGTTCGATCTCTGATATCCCGTATGTTCTCCCAAACCCGTCAAGAGTGATTCCTGAGTGCAGAGCCAGGAGAAAGTCCTGAGCATCACTGTCTGTGACCACAAACAAACAAAAAGATCCTATTTGACACTAGGAGAAATAAATACCGAGGAGGAAGATTAACTTACTGTAAGTGTAGATTTCTGAACCGAACTACTCACAAATTAAGTGAATAATGAAAGTAAAAGCTCTTTGTATGCTGTAAACTGCGCCTGAAATGTCATGACATATGGCCTTAAAAGCTTCAGGTTGCAAATTTAATAGCTTTAGACTAAGCTACTCTTAAGATGTCATTCATTCAAGAACTTGTCTGTCTAATGGCCCTGTGAGAGATATAGGACAGGTGGGCATATTATCTACCTTCCAGTGCTTTACTCTATGACAGAGACTCTTGTTCTAGTCCTGAGTCTAGAATCTTTGGAACTAGAGATATAATTTTCATAACTTGATAAGTGTCTTCCAGTCCCATGCATTTGGGAATACTGTAATAACATTACAAAGTTATAATACAAAGGGAAAAAAAAAGAGGTCGAATTTTGGTTTTAGCACTCAGAATTGTGAGTGCTAAAAAACTGAAAGTAAAATTTGGAAATGGTAGTATCATTGTGGGCTAGAGAAGGCAGAGGAAAGGAAATCAGAGGAAAAGAAATCCTAAGTCCTAATTTGAAGCTGCCTCCCAAATTCAGAGTCAAGGAGCACATAAGGGTCTTTTGTTCTATCTCTCTAAACATCTACTTGCTTCTTGTTCATGAAGGCTACCTTAGTTATCTCTCCATTTCCTGATCTACTTCTCATCCATGAAGATTACTGCTTCAACCTCACTTTGGACTTCACTTGCACAGAACCAACAGTCCTTTATATTGGTTAATTCAATTTTCATTTGGTTTCCTCCATGGGATAGCTGGAGTTTTAGATTTTAAAATTCCTAAAGGATGGAATTATGTCTGAATTCATGTCTTTGCTCATAATGGGAAATGAAATAATACCCAATGTGGCGTGGCATATTTTGTACTGGTTTACATCCATTCCAATATAGGAAGCAGATAAAAATATCTGATAGGGATCTTCATCATTTAGGCCCAGAGATGGAATTTGTTTATAGATGGAGGTAGAGAGTAAGAAAATTAACACTATGAAGAAAAGAAGAGAACCAACCTGCTGGGTAACTTCTGTGAATTATTCATAGAACTTAATGGGACATCTTAAGTGTTCAGATTGGCTACACTAGCCATGAAATCAATAGGAACAAGTCAGTGTGGAAGGCTGTATAACAGAGAAAAGAAACAGTATATATAGCTTCCAGGTGACATCTGAATTTGAATCTTATTTGTATCATATTTAGCTTCACATCCTTAGATCAGTTACTTAGTATTTTTATATTTTAAAAAAGTATTTTATTTAATTTTTTTTGGAGGGGGATACCTAGCATTGTGCAGGGCTTATTCTGGGTTATATATTCAGGAAAGACTCCTAGCAGACTCTAGGAACCTTATGGGATGTGAAGTATTGTACCTAGGTTGGCCACATGCAAGGCAAGTGCCCTGCACACTGTACTCTGGCCCCTACTTAGTCTCTTTAAGAAATTAGTCTCTTCATTAAAGAATTAATAAAAAAAGGAAAATAATAATAATTGCATGTCACAAATATTTTTATGAGAATCTTGGACAATGTGAAAATAGCCAGTTAATTGTGCCTAATTTTATCTAGTAAGAATGTTATGTAATAATAATGTTATTAATATTATAATAATGTTATGTAATAACCAGTGGTTTTTGACAACAAAAGCACAGAGTGACAATAAAATATTTAGACAGTGTACTTCATATCACATGTTGAACTGCAAACAAATATTCTACCTGTCAAAGTCAAAACAAGAGACTTCAGATAAGAAGCCTTGTGATTCAGGAGCAATCAATGAACCATGTAGGTTTCAGTAACCCAAGCAACTTCTGTTTGGGACTCATCCTAGATGAAAATTGCCCTATATGAATATATAACTGTTTATTTCTTGCTGAGCAGTGTGTCAAATTGGTAAGGTTCATGTAAGTTGAGTGTTATTCTCATTTTGCAAGATTAAATAATTGGTAATAGACTCAAAAGATCTAATTTTCAGGAACCTCCTTATTTATCTTCACTTTTACCTATGAATACCACTATTCTATATAACAGTGGTAACAATTCATCCTACTTACAGATATCTAAAAATGAGCAGAGTTTTTTAAAATTAAGTCTTTGAAATATTTTAAGCGATTAAATATTCAACTTCTATACTTGGGCCAGAGTTATTATGATGACTTACCTAACAAGCTAGGCAGAGGGTCATCCAACACCACTGATGACTCAAACAGATGAAGCCTTAAAGGTGGTAGCGTGAGGGTTCAAGTGTTTTTCAAAAATGCCAAAGAAAACCTTTTCAAATGAACAAAGTCTTAACATCCAATCTTCTAAATGCCTATTTTATTACCCTAGAGTATCCAGAAGAAGTAGCTTCTACAATACCAGACTCACTGCTTTATTTTTCCTCATCTTTGATGTCAAATGATTGCATCCCTACTTGTTCATTTTTGACTGCCATAAGATGGATGACCTGTGTTGGGGCCGTATTTCTGGCCTCCTTCGATGCGGAACATGTGGTCATCGAAGAAGATGTGAGGCCTTATCTTCGCCAAGATGGGACCTTTGGAGGATCCTGCGAGGAAGAGGGCTTCATCTATTTCTAGACCCCAACGGCGAAGGGTTTTCAGCACACGGGCACCTGAGCTGGCTGCGCTCCTGGCTGTAACAAGGTAGGTCCTGATGGGGCAAAGCAAACGCTCATCTTTGGCGTAAAATTTCTTTTGCATTCTTCCCAGTTCTTCCAGAAAGCCTTTCATAGGAACCTGCAAAGAAACGTGTATCAGTGCTGTGATTTGGTGAACTAAAGGAAGTGAGTGATTAAAAACCATAGGAAGCCTATAGCACTATCCTCCCAATGTTCATCAATTTGCTTGAGCGGGCCCAGTAAGATTTCCGTTGTGAGACTTGTTACTGTTTCAGGCATATTGAATACACCATGCGAAGCTTGCCAGACTCTGCTGTCGGGGCAGGATAATTTCCGTAGCTTGCTGGGCTCTCCGAGAGGGGCTGAGGAGTCAACCCAGGTTGGCTGCGTGCAAAGCAAACACCTTGCCCACTGTGCTATCGCTCCAGCCTAAGTTTTTATAAAATGATATAATCAACTCATTGGAGGTGAGGCATGTATTACTATAAAGTCATATATGCCGGAACTTCTTGTTTTGGGTGGACGTATTTTCTTATATTGGACCATCCTGGTGTTCCTAGAATTAATGTAGGTGACATATCATATTTCAATCATTTAAGTGTAAATGATTATAAGTTTAATAATTCTATAAGTCGTTTAAGCAGAGCAGCAGATAACAACAATGGAAAAAATAGGAAACTTGTTATTCTACCTTCACTTGCTCACTAAAATCCAATCACTTGTCCTTACTTAAATTTTATTTCTAACATTTTAATTTGTCTTTATTTTGGGACCACACCCAGTGGTGCTCAGGGATTGCACCTAGCTTTGTGCTCAGGAATCACTCATAGAAGGGCTCAGGGTGCCTGAGATTGAACACAGATTGGCCATGTGAAAGGGAGGTCCACTAACTGCTTGTATTATCACCCTCACTTAAATTTGATGTGAAATTCAATTTGCTATTTTTGAATTTCACATCATTTTACTGTATGCTCCATTGTCCAGTTGAGTTCTTTCTTGGTCTGAATCCAATTTTGTCTCACATTTATAATTGCTCTTTGACTACACACTTGGCTGTATCTTGAATCTATTTGAACACGTTGTGTTGTTTGTATCTGATAGAAAGGTTACAACAGCATTGGACTTTTGTAAGTTAGTCAATCTTAAGTCTTAAATTTTAAAACAAACACATTTTTAGTCCATTTATTATCATTACATGTATAGCTAATGGTTTAGTTTTCGTTTTTTTGGCGCATTTTCCATGCCTGTAAAGTTTTAAGAATTGTTCACATGTCATTTTGTCTTTGTATGTCTGGGTTTCTTCTAACAATCAGGTGGTTTATGTTATTTTCTTTGACTCATTACCTTTATGGTATGACTTTATAGTACCTTGATTTTTTTTTTGATTCTAGGATCTTACTATAATGAGATAATGAAGTTTAGATGCTTCTCACCTCTCCTTTGTTATCAAGTCTTTAATTTATTTTTTATAAGTTCTTATATTTAAATTATTATTTTGTTTCTGTCTGATTTGCATATTATTTATTAATCAGATATTATACATCTTTACATACTTCTGAAATCTTTTTCCTTTATTGTTTTTGAGTTTTCATTGGCTCTGAATATCTATATTTTCATTTCTAAAATTTAAATACCATGATTTACAAAGTTGTTCAAAATAGTTGTTTCAGGCATTCAATGTTCCAACACTAGTCCAGCACCTTTGTGACATTCCCTCCATCAATGTCCCAGTTTCCCACACATCTCTAAGACTTCCCCCTTAACAAGCACAAATTTACTTCATATCGCTTGTTACAACAAAATAACAAATGGAACTATCAAAACATAGATCGATAAAGGGCTGGAGCAATAGCACAGCCATAGAGCGTTTGCCTTGCACGCAGCCAGCCCGGCCTAGCTAGGTTCGATTCCTCCGCCCCTCTCAGAGAGCCCAGCATGCTACGGAGAGTATCTCGCCTGCAAGGTAAAGCCTGGCAAGCTACCCGTGAAGTATTTGATATGCCAAACACAGTAACAAGAAGTCTCAAAAATGGAGACGTTACTGGGCCCGCTTGAGCAAATCGATGAAAAACGGGAGGACAGTGACAGTGACAGATCAATAAAAGTCAATTTGTGATATATATCTTACAATGTTGTCAATATCGAGTGGGCCCAGTAACGTCTCCATTGGAGACTTTTGTTGTTACTGTGTTTGGCATATCAAATACATCACGGGTAGCTTGCCAGGCTCTGCCGTGCAGGCAAGATACTCTCGGTAGATTGCCAGGTTCTCCAAGAGGGGCGGAGGAATCGAACTGGGCCCGCTTGAGCAAATCGATGAACAACGGGAGGACAGTGACAGTGACAGTGACAGTTGTCAATATCATCGTCTGGGAATAAACTGAGCTGATTGGTGCTAGTTGAACCTTCTGAGCTGTTTTTTTTCTTTTTCATTGAGGTTGGTGGGCTTTTACAGGACTTTATGAACAAATTTGTTGTGTTCTTTTTGGACTGTTTTTACTGTGAAATCTGAAGGTACTGCAAAGCATGTAATTTCTATATTTTTAAGGCAGCTAACAGTTATTATTTTCTGTGACTATAGTGATTTTATTTTTTTGTATACATATATTATATGGCCCTTTATGTCTGAGTTAATAGTCATTTACAGTTTTGCTAAAAGATATACACCAATACTTGCCCTCCCCAAATAACTTATGGAAATAATAACCTGAAAATATGGCATTTTAATAACTCAATCAAAAGTTTTACTTTTAGTTGATTTAATGAACTTATGAAGGATTTATTTTTCTTTTCATGTTGTCTCATAAGTTGTGTGCTACTATATTTTGAAAGTTGAGTATTATTGATAAAACTGAGTACAGTCCAGTTTCTCCCCTATTTATGTGTACAATAGTTCCAGAGAGTTATTTTTATATGCTTAAGGTTTAATTATTTTTGTTGGGGATATTTCAGATCAACATTATCTTCTATTCTCTATCACATAATATAGAATTTATAAAACATTAATACATCTATTCCGTTTTCTGATAATCCAAGATATTTTCTTATTTATATTTTCTATTAGTCTTTGTAATACTCATAGCCCTCTTTTTCTCACATAGAACATACTTTCAGTATTTTTCTTTAGGGATTCAGATACGTACTTATTGGGTTTTCTTCACCTGTGATTTATTTTAGTCAGGTGTTTTTAAAAAATCATTTTCAGTTCCACACTATCTTAAGTACTAACATTTGACATTTTATCACTGCTTCCCTGATCCTTGTATATAACTTTGTCATCATAACTTTATTAAGTTTGAAAAGTCCTATTGAATGTTTAGTCTAAATTTTCACTTCAAATTTGGCAACTATTTCTAGTGAGAGTTCCTCATCTGATACTATATTTTGTTCTTTTTTGTTTTTGTCTGAGCACCAATGAATGTGACCCCCAAACCATAATTTATTTCCATCTTGATCTGTACTGTTCAACTTTTTTATTCTTCATTCAAATAAATGTTTCCTTGACACATTAGAGAAATTCTGAGGATGATAAAACCTACTATTTTCTTACACACTATTCCCACATTAAAAAAAACGCTTATCAGCTCTCATGGGAATTAACTTTTTAACGAAATTATGTTTTGTCTAGGTGATTATTTAATTTCTTTTTGAATTGGGGAGGTTGGGGGTCACGTGTTGGTGCTCAAGGCTGATTCCTCAAAAGATCGTGTGTAATTCCAAGGATTGAACTGATCTTGCTTACTTAAAAGTAATTCATGTCCCAAAAGGGAGGGACTACACACAATATATTTATGTGTGCATACATGAATATACACATATATGTATACATATAGTTGTATATAAATTTTATAGCAATAACAAAAAGTGAGTATAAGCTAATATCTTTTATATAACTATATTCAAACCAGGTATCAGAATTCATCTTTATTGCCATTATGTGTGTTTTATAATGTATGTATTTGTATAGTAATAAAAACATATATTCAATAAGAAGATGAAATATGAGGGTTGGGGAGCAAACTCAGCAGACTGGAGGACATGCTTTGCTTCCTGGATGCCTGTGTTCGATTCCTGGCACCACATGGTCCTCCTCCAAGCATCACCAGTAGTGAAACTTCAAGCACCGAGGAAGTAGTTCTGAGCACCAATGAATGTGACCCCCAAACCAAAACTGATAAACAAAAAAGAAATATGGGCCAGAGAGATAGTACAGCAACTAGGATACTTGCCATGCATGCAGATGCCCAGGGTAAATTTGTGGCACCATACGTGGTCTCCTGAGCATGACGTGATATCTGAGCACAGTTGGATGTGAGCCCTGAGCACTGCCATATGACTTTAAAATAGGAGCTATCTAGTATAGGTTTCAGAAGTGAGATTTCTCTCAGACTGGGGGCATGTTGGTCCTAGTTGTAGATTAATCTATTACAATAAAGAATGCCTTTTTCTCCTATCACTTAGCCAGCTGGCAGCGACCAACAGGCAATAGTTGAGAGAGGGGTGACCGTGTGTATTATAATTTCTGTGACAAAGACACAAGGACGTCTAATCGAGTTTTAAGTGTGAATGTTGTGAAACTTACCACACTAAAGGAATTATAAGTCTGGTGAAATCCAGCAAAGTAACAATGAAATACTATCTTGCAAAAGACTATCTAGAAAAATACTATCATTGTAAAAATCCAGATTAGATGGATTCCACCATTATATTACTAACTAGTAGAAGAGGAAGCGTGTGCCCATTACTAGGTATAAATACTACTTAATGAAGCCCTCTACTGTTCCCATGCTATGATGTGAAGATAATCAAAGATTTGTAATGCTACAAAAAACAAAAGTGTAATAAATTTGCAGGATACACTCACTAGTAGACCAACAATGATGATATAAGTATCATCAGAGGTGATTGAGAATTACTGACAAGGGGCTGGAGTGATAGCACAGCATGTAGGGTCCTTGCACGTGGCTGACTTGGGTTCGATTCCTCTGTCCCTCTCTGAGAGCCTGGCAAGCTACCGAGAGTATC